CCCACAGTGTGTCCAGTGGAACTGGATGGGGAGGGGATGGTAATTTTTTGATTTAATTTGTGTATTTTCAGTCAAAAACATTCATTAATGATCAACAGCTTTATGTTTCATAAAATGTTTGAATTTTTTTACTCATGAAAATTATAATACATCTGGTCATGCTTTGGTGAAATTGTTTCTTTATTTTGTTGTCTGAAATCTTGAATTAACAGCATTTTTTGTCTTGAATATAACATATTTAAAAACATGGTGATGGTGTTTTATTGTTACTGTAGTCAATATTTAATTAAGAATTACGAAAAAATTATTTATTCAGTTTCCTTTAAAGAGATCTCTGAAGGAATAATTATTTTTGAAACATTTTTTAATGACTTGAAAACTTAATGCATGTATTGCAACTATTTTTTTTCCAGATTATTTAATTTCATGTACTTTCTTGTTTCTTATATTAGTGACTATATTGTTATACTTAAGGCCCTTGGTCTTTTGCAGAACATATTATTTTTGGTATGGGATAAAATCAGTGGTTTCAGTAGTTTAGGTTTTGGATTAATTTAGATTAAGTGGATACCCACAGGAGGCTAGTAGGGTCAAAGAAAAGAACATTTTGAAGTGAAGGTCTCTTTGTATAATTTGAAAGTAGGCAGGTACCAACACTTGGCGTCTACTGATACGCAGGTTGGGCCTGTCATTAAAACTCTGATAAAATTTTCACTGGTGGTTGGATCACTTGAAGGAACAGTGTCACAATATTTTAAGCCATTTTCTTTCTTTTTTTTGAGTCACCTATTGCCATGATCTTCACACTTAAAACAACCTTGTTACTTTGTGGGTGAACTACATCAGCAAGTTCACTCATCTCCATTAACCATATCCAACCGAACCAGGTGTTGTGGATTGTAGATCTTAATGACAGCCCTGCATATCTACAATAACTGTGACCTTCTCAGGGCCCTTATTGAATGATTTTGTTTGCACACTGATGCACCAATGAAAGGTTATGCCAGTGGGGAGGGATTTGAGAGCAGTTACCTGCAAGAGACAAGTGTCTTGCATAAGAACTAGGTTTTAATGGCTCCAA